TGACACAGCTTCATGCCATTCTCTCCCTGGGCATCCACCGTCAGTGATTCTGCCACTGATAACAAGATTGAGCCGAGGCCTGGCTGCTCTGTTATGAGGAAATGCCTGTCATTAGGGGCCGTGCTTCCTCTTTCTGTTTTTTTAGGTCCAAACCTAATTGCCAGCAGCACTGTGCGAGAGTTCTGTGTTGTCGGTGGTGTCAGTATCCACTAAATGTCAGTTCTGTATTCTGTAGCATATTTTGGGGTCTAAAAGAAAGCACTTATATCATGTGGACTACTACTCAGCCATGTAGTGACTGCTGATCCTTTTTCTCCAGTCTAATTGTAAACTTCTGAAGGGGAGTTTTTGATCTTATTCTCTGTTGTTGACTTGGAAACTGTACAGGGAGAGTTTTTTCCATGACCAAGTTTTGCCTGATATTTGGCTTTACTTTCTTTTTCATTACTTAAGCTGTTGCATAACAAAGTCTGAGCATCCATCTGTGTTTTTGAAAAGATGTGATAAAAGTGAAAATCAGTAGTGGAGGGTGCTTTTATAGATACAAGTTTTGGGTGACCTGTGTATAGCACTTGGTCTAAGAACAGAAGAGGAACTGCCCCAAGGCCAAGTCATGGGTGCAAATCCTTTTGGAGAAACGAGGCCACATAGAACTCTAACATCCATACAGAGCAGAGAGACTTTGGCATCTCTTACCACAGAGTGAGCTGGAGGGAATGCTCAGCAAATGAATTTGGGGGTACCTTTGAGATTCCACTAATGATCTGTTCTTTACATACCCCTCAAAGCCCCCCACTATTGTAGCCATGCCCAGATGCTTCTGTGACTTAAGCAGAACTGCACTCGCAGCATGTCAGGGTGCTGACTCCTGGAGCAAGGTAAGAATGATTTTGTAGTGATCTGGGAAGGCACTGTCACAGAGGATGCTTTGCAAAGCCTGAGTGAAAGAAGCAGAGGATGAGTAAATCCAGCTGCACAGGCTGCATTTAATGATGCAGAACCTCTTTTCTGTGCTCCTGTAACCACATCTGTTCCATCCTTCCACAGCGCAGTCAGCATCTGGAACCTGCCCTCAAAAGCAAAGCTACTCCCTCAAACTTGTGAGTTTTGATCTGTTTGGGTAAGGAATAGTGCATAGAGTACTGTGTCCTGACCTGTTTGGCTGAGAGTGTCCCAGGAATTCAGAGGGAGTGGTCACACAGGCCCCTTCCAGCTTAGGGATGGATATAACCTCCTGAGGGTGCTGTGCTTGGAGTTCAGTACAGGTTGGCCCTTCCACTAAAGATATTAAGAAAATAGATATGAGGATTAAAATAAAAGCCTTAATCACAGAAAGTTGCTGCCTTGGTCTGCCAGGCTCAGTAACCTCCAGAACTGAATTGGGTGGTGTGAGGTGAAGATCTTGATTCAGGAATGTCAGACCAACTTTTCTCCTATATAGCTGAGGTCTGGGGAGACTGGAGAGGTTGGAACTTGGTGCTGTGCTGACAAGCCAGTGTGGAGACACTCCATAAGGCCAGAGCACACTTTTAAATCAAACAGGAATTATAGTCGGAGTTCTGAGCCAGCTCTCCAGGCACTTGTCAATACCTTGGGTTCTCCAGGAGTGTGTCATTTCCAGAAATAGCTGTTCTGTGGTGGAAATTCAGGATTGATTTTCAATAGTTCACAAACCAGAGCAGAAAGACTGTTTCCTTGTCTGCTGTGGCTCTTGGGCTTTGCTGGTCTGTAGGAGGGCCAGTGCTGATGGATGGTGTGTGGGGCTCTTGCAGGGACTTCAATAATCACTCTGCCTTTTGTCAGAGGAGACATGTAAGAGGATGGAGGAGAAATACAGTGTTGATGAGAAAAGACAGCTAAGTGCCACAAAACTAGAACCACTAGCTGGGAAACTGTAATCACTTCTGTAGGCAGCGTTCCCAACTCCTCTGTTTTGCACTTTTTGACGTCTTTTGGCATTTTGCTTGGTAGTCTGCTGATGCCACAGCCCAGCCCTTATGGTTGCAGAGCACTGTGGAGTGTGATAAGGCACAGGAGAGCATTTTAAGGCTCAGATGGGCTCACCAGGCAAGGTGCAGAGTGAAATATCCTCTGGGACATGGTCTCTGTGTTGTCTGGAGCCTGCTGATCCTCCAGTTTGGTATCAAACCAGCTAGAATATAACTCTGCTGCTTCCTCCTGTGCATGATAGCAGCTGTCCCGAGTCAGTTTGTGTTGAATATCTACATGTGTGTAGGCAAACACAGGCATACTGAATGTAAACTATGTGCATTTGAGGTCACTCAATGGCACCGATATCTTAAATATCACAGATACAGACATTTTAAGTTGTCTCATTTTCTGACAGCTAGACTGAAATGTTACAGCTCTCTGTTGAGTTTTGCCTGTTTGCAGAAATGCCCTCATCCCTGCTGTGACTAGAAGGTCACCTCTAGCTCCCTTTAATGTAACAGCTTTGGGACTAGAGCTCACTCCAGGCTCCAGATGGGCTGCAGTGCCTGGCTGTCCTTCACCCACGGGCAGCTGTAAATGGCACTGCTGGAAAGGCCCCACCTGAGACAGCCACTCCCCTGTTCTGTGCTGATGCTCAGAGTTTATGTGGTTGTTAGGGGCAGCATTGAAGAGTGAACCAAAGCACCTGAGCTCTGCTAATTTTTTTAGGGGGGACACTGCTCTCTTTAAAACAGTTAGTGGAGGTCCTGTAGCAATCTTGCCCAAGTTGCCCTTTCCAGCAGGATGTGTGTGGCTGAAATAATGCTCCTCCCTCCTGTTCCCTTTAGGATGCCAAAGACGGGAGGATATACAATGAACAGAATTTCTTCCAGCGAGCTGCCAAAGCAGGCACAGGTTGGTGCTTCTTGGGAAGGCAAGGACTAAGGACAACTGGCATCCCTCTCTCTCAGAAGGCCAGGACAGGATAAACTCATTCCCTGCTCAGTCAGTGCTGAGGAGTTCAGCCAAGAGCCAGCTCTCCCAGCAGTGTGTGCTGTAGGACACTGCAATACTGGCATTTTGAAGCTTTCTAGCTCTACCCACTCTGTCTTGATGTCCCTGGGAGCTGTCCTGCCTTGCAGCCTCACCCACCTTGGCTCCCCCTCTCTCCTGCCCCTTCCATGGGCATTGCTGTCAGATGCTCTCTGGTACTGACTCCAATGTCACCAAAACCTGAGCAAGAGCAAAGCTGTCCAGAGAATGTGGGTGAGGGTGGTGGAGGAATTCATGTCAAACCTGCACTTCTGGGAGGACTGTAAAAATCTGCTTCTCCATCCCCCTCTTCCTCCTCTCTCCTTCTTTTCCCTAGCCCTGTGGCAACTCCTTAGCCTGCTCTGCTATTCCCACTATCCTCCCTGGGATGGGAGGGATCCCATTCTTGCTGTGCAGTTCCATTCATGCTCTGAAGTGCTGTGCACATTGACATGCCAATACCCCCACATATCAGGCTGGAATTTTGGGGCCAGAATCAGGATGAGAGAGACTTCCAGCTGTCAGCTGCCCAGGGCAGAGCAGACCTTCAGAGGTCTCTGAGCTCTTTCCTCCTGGAGCTCCTCAGCAGCTTATGCTGCCTTGTGTCTTTTTCTCTCCCTCTGCAGTGGAGAAGTGGAAGAAGTGGCACTCTGTGCCTTTGCTGGGCATTCCCAATTGCATTGGCTTTGGACTGCATGGAGACAGCTACAGGTGAGGGGACTGTGAGCTCTTGGGCCATCTTTGTGAGCGTTCCCTCTCCTCCCCTTGCTGTCTGTTAGTCCTTTTGTTGTTGTCCACTGGGCTCTTGACCTTATGCACTGCTCCTGTATAATTTATTGAATGCTTTGCCTCATTGTCCTGTTTCCTTCGGTCCTTGTGTGGCTGGTGAAACCATAGCTTTTGCTCCTGCTGCCCCTCAAGCCAGGGGACACCTTATTTTGGTCCTTTACACTTAACACAAAGAGGAGACTCAGGCTGTGTATCTGCAACACAAGACCAGCACATCTGTCTCCTCTGTAAGAAGTTTTCTCTTATCAAAAATCACGAAAGTGTTTGGCCAGGTCAACTTGGAGTTAAAGTGGGATCTATTGGATTGCTGGACAAGTGTCTGTTGCAGGGTTTCCAAAGCAAGAAGGTGCTGCCATGTGCAAACCCCTTTTCTCTTGTAGGTTTTTGGTGTTCTCTGACTTGGGGCGAACTCTTCAGTCAGTGCTGAGTGATGGCTTGAACCTGCTGAGGGAGAAGGCAGCGTTTCAGATTGCAGTCCGGCTGGTATGTAGAGAGCCAGTTCTTCCTGAGAGACTTTTTCAGAAAAGACTTGTAACTTCCTTCCAGATCTTTCAGAGATGTTTTAAAGCTGCTCCAGGGGCTTGGCTGGGGTCTCTAAGTAGCATCTCTTGAGCCCCTTGTAAATTTGAGTATCATCTTTTTAGTGTTGTATCACCTTGAAGGAATTTGGGATAAGGAGAGCGAGAGAAACCTGACCTTTGAACTTAAAGGCTGTGAGATGGTGCTTTTAGTGCTCCTCCACATGGCTGTGGGGAGCTGGGGAGGGCCCAGCTCAGTGATAGCCAGGGTGCTGCAGGAGCCTGCATGGGTCTGATAGGCTCCCCTCTGTTTATTCCCAGCTAGACTGCCTGGAGTACATCCATGAGAATGAGTACGTACATGGGGACATCACTGCTGAGAACATCTACCTGAGCCCAGCAGACCTCACACAGGTAGGGAGCAGGAGCAGGGCTGGCAGTGGTGGTGGGCTTGGGAAACGGGACAGGGCAGGGCAGCAGAGCAGTGTGTGCAGTGCTCAGGCAGGCTCTGTGGTGCAGGACTGGGGGCTGCACTGAGCAGAGTGACCCCACAGCCGCTCAGGGGGAGCTGTTGCTGTCCCTCAGGTGACCCTGGCAGGCTATGGCTTCGCATTCCGGTACTGCCCCGGCGGGAAGCACGTGGCTTGGCGGGAGGGCAGCAGGACCCCTCACGAGGGCACCCTGGAGTTCATCAGCCTGGACAGCCACAAAGGTGCAGGTGGGTCTGGGTTCCTGGCACATGCTGGAGCTGTTCCTGTGGCAGTGCTCCCTGGAGCTGGGGCTCCCCACTGGCATTCCTGTCACTGCTGCTTTCCAGGCCTTCATACGTGCCAGGAACCAGCTTCCAATTTGGGCTCTTCACTCCTGCCTCTCTCTGGGCTGCTGTGCCTCTCCAGGTCACTCAGTGACTGCAGCAGGGATGTTCCTGCTCCTTCTGGAGCCTTGGCTGCTACAGGCATGTGAGGAATAGAGAACAGGGCCCTTTGTGCTGGCTTAGCAGGGATCTGTTACACGCCAGGCTGGATCCTGCCCAAAACAGATTTGCAGCAGGCTCTGCTCTGACCTTGAAGCAATGAAAGCTGGAAAGGCATTTAAATCCCAAAGTCAGTGTGGTTGGAAAAGACCTTTAAGAGCATTGAGTCCAACTGTAAACCCAGCACTGCCAAGGCCACCCATGTCCCCAAGTGCCACATCCACGTGGCTTTTAAATCGCTCCAGGCATGGGGACTCCACCAGTGCCCTGGGCAGCCTGCTCCAAATTAGCCGGTCCCTCTCCTGGTTGGGATGTGACTGCTCTCTCCCAGTGCTCAGCAAATCTTCCTCCAGAGGCTGGGAGGTGATTCCTCATCTGTAGGAGTTAGCAGGCTTACAGAAGTATTGATGTGCCAGAGCACATCCTAATGGAGCACTTGGATTTCTTTACTTCTGCCCCTTCATGAGTGACATGTGAATGTCTCTTCCCATCAGCACCATCTCGCCGGAGTGACTTGGAATCTCTGGGCTACTGTCTTGTAAAATGGCTCTGTGGCTTTTTGCCTTGGTCTAATGTGCTGGACAGAGTAGAAACTGTGGTGGAGCAGAAGGAAAGGTAGGAGAAATCATCTACTCCTTTGGGAAATCAGCAGAAGGCAGAGAGGGAGGTTTTGTGACTGAAATCCCTCAGTCCCAGTACACTGTTGGGACAGGGTAAATCCCAAGGCTGAGCCTGGCCCAAGGTGTTTGATGAACCCCAGGTTCTGCTCCATTCAGGACATGGCCATCTGAATTCAGCCTGTTTGGGTTTTTTGTCCCTTTGCCAAAGCCAGGTGCTCAGGTGGCTGCTCCCTTGCTTCTCATGTGACAGTATCTGTTCCATTGCAGGTACAGAGAGGATGTGAAATGCCTTCTCCGACTGTGCTTCGGGCACAGAGCCATTCCAGGTACGGGCTTGCTCTCGGTGGCAGTGGGACTTAGGGAAGGAGGACTGACTGTACCTGAGGCCAGAACCTTGTCTTGTGATGGGCTGCAGGTCCAGGGTGGCTTCTGGTGGTGATGGTGACCAAGCATTGCATGGACTGGTTGGCAGGCTGGGAACAAATCCCTTGTTTTCTGCACAGCAAAACAAGGAGGGCTGCCTCCCATGATCTGTTTCATGAACCTTGCTGAAGGGACAGGTGTTCTGGTGGGTTTAAAAATGCAATATTTGGGGCTAGAGGTCATTTCCCCATCCCGTTCTCTTGCCCAGAGAAGCTGTGGCTGCCCCATCCCTGAAGTGTCCAAGGCCAGGTAGGATGGGGCTTGGAGGTCTAGAGGAAGGTGTCCCTGCCCATGGCAGGGGTGGGACTGGATGAGCTTTAAAGTTCCTTCCAACCCAAACTCTCTTGTGATTCTATTTTATTCTCTACTTCTACGATTCTGTCTTTGAGCTTCGTGTTAGCCTTGGTTTGGTTTTCCTCTCTGTGCAGCTGCCCAGGGTGGGTGGAGGAGCTGCAGGGCGAGCAGAGGTGGCTGGAGTTGCTGTGCTGCTCCAGGTGTGACAGCCCTTGCTTTGCAGAGACCCTGCAGAGATACCTGGAGCAGGTGATGTCTCTGGAGTATGAGGAGAAGCCTGACTATGAGGCCCTACGGCAGCTCTACAAGAAGCCACTGGAAAAGATGAAATCTTCAGCCTATGACCCTGTGGATATCCCAGTGGTGCCCTAGGTGAGTGCCAAGAGCTGAGATGGCAGCACAGAGCTGGTACCTGCTCCCTGTGCCTGAGGACAGAGCAGCCTCTCTGTGACATCTCTCCAGGTGACACAGACCTGCTCCTCCTGACACATTGAGACACCAGGCCAGTGCTACACAGAGCCAGGCTTAGCCTGTGTTTCCTCAATTTTTTCTGGAAATACTTGAAATTGAAGGAATAGAACAAGGGTTAATAAAGCAAAGGGCTGTGGAGGTGATAACAAAATGCAGGCTCATGCAATCTGGTAATTTTTTTTTTTTTAGAGAACTGAGGCTCTGGGCTGTAGCTTCTGCTTTCCCCTTTCAGAAAGCAGAGTGTAGCTCTGGTTTTAGTGCCTCAGCCCTGAGGCAGTGGTGGCTCTCAAGCCCAGGTGCTGCTTTAGACATGAGGCACCTCCAAGAGTGAGGCTTGGTACAGATCCAGACCTGGTTTTAGCCCAGGGCTCCATCAGGCAAGGCCAAGCATTCAGCAGCAGGAACACAGAGCCAGCTCCTCATCACCCTGTTCCTGGAAGGAGTTGAACTGATTAATCTTCCCCTTCTCTTTTTTCTTTCAGATCAAGAGAACTTGCACAGGAAGAGTTCAGAGCTTTCTAAAGTGAGGCCTTTGCCACAGATATTTAACTTTTACCAGTTTTAGAATGAGAGGTTGAAGTGCTTTCTTCCCATTTTAATGTGACCCAGTGCTGAAGTTTGAGGTGCTGCTGTACCAAGTTAATGTGAAGACACTCCTGCCTGGCAGGTCAGGGGAAGCAGTAGCTGGAGAATTGCAATGGAACCACGGGGAGCAGGGAAATTAAATCAGGGACTTTTTTTAACTGGAGTGGCAGAACATAGTTTTGTAATAAATGTTGTGGACAAGCACCCAAGGCTGCTGCTGGTTATTTGGTACATTCAAGGCCTTTCTGGGGCTGCTGTAGGGTTGTGAGGGTGGTTTAAGCTCCTTGTGCTATTCATGTACATAACCTCCAGGCAGGGCCACTGCAGCTGAACCGTCAGAACTCAGCTCAGAGCTAAACCTGACCTCATCCCCAACCACCTCAGCAGTTCTCCAGGCCCCAGGCCAGTGAACAAGGGGAAGGAAGAGCAGGAGCCACCTCTAGTAACAAAACAATTTTATAAAAAAAAGTGTCAATAAACACTCACTACACTGTATCTGAACTGTTGCCAATGCCACAGTAACTTCTAAACAGTCCTGGAGTCCAGTTCCAGTGTTAACTTCAGTGACACCTCCTGGAAGTCTTGTACCTTGGTATTCCACTGTTCACTATGTGTTAAGGCACAGAAGGAATTGTCAGGTGAGGAAAACATGGCAACAAGAGAAGAGGCAAATGAGGTTTAAACCATATGAGAGGTAGGTAAGAGAGCAGCTCAGACCTGCAGTGAGCCTTCATTTACCTCTGGGGTTTTTCAATGAAAACCTTGTATCAGTGCAGCAAATGCCATAGACAGGAGAGGGGAACTGAGGGAGACCTGGCCAGAATAAAAAGGCAGCACAATCTCAAAAGAGGTCTTTCAAGTGGAAGAATCCAAGCATAGTGTTACATTCAGAACTTGAGATCCTATGTCAATTCATTTCATAGTGCCAGGCCTCAGAGGAAGCAAGGGACAGGACAGTTCTTTTTTATCATTAGGAGGAATGACAAAAGTGGGCTAAAAATTTCAGAGGGAGCTGAACCTTAGTTAGCAGAGGATCAGACAACAGGGGACATGTAAAAAGGCAGCTGTGAAGGGAGGAAAGAGCCCAGATGGGAGCTACAGAAACACAGGACAGACAAGACTTAGGGGTTGTTTTTTGGAGGTATTTACAATATTCACTATCATCCCTGTATGACTGCAACAGAAATATGGTTTCCAGGAATCCTGGAAAAGTTAAAAGCACAAAGAAATCAGAGGCTTAAGAAGCCCAAGTTCAGCCTCTCTTCAGTGTGTTCTGCCATGTTTTTCCTCTTGACTTGCCTCCTGTGCAGGTCGTGGGGCCGGGGTGGCTCCCTGTTCATGGCACTGCCGGGGGGCAGTGCTGAGGTAGGTTTGGGGGGAACTCCAGGGCTGCCTCCCACAGAAGAGGTGGGACTGGCACTGTTGACAGAGGAGTAGCCTGAGCTCCCCTCTGGGTTGGGATTCCTTGGGGTGAGATACTCCCCTGGCAGCTCCGTGTCCCTCCGGGGCACCGCAGGCACATCCCACTCCCCAGTGGGGCCATCGTCGTCACTGGAGTCCTGCCCACAGTGCTCTGCAGGGTCCAGGTACAGCACAGTCACATCCAGGATCCCACTGGGACTGGTCACTGCAGGGGGGGAAAGACAGAAAGGTTAGTTTGCCCAAATCCAGCACTAAGCAGGCACCCAGCACAGAGTCAAACAGAACAAAGCCAAGCAAGTGTCCACCTTCTGTCTGCTCACACATGGAGGGCGGAGCTCGAAGTTCACCCTCTTTTCACACAGTGTCTTCTCCCCCCTCAGACTATTTGGACTTTGATCTAAGGTACTAACAGCTATTTAGAAAACAAGCAGCCAGGCCCAGAGTCAGCAAAACCAAGAGCTTATTAGTGTTTTTAACACAGTGGGCTGTTCATCACGTTTAGTGCACTGCAAACAGCCTCACTTCGAAATGCTGAGCAGCTACAAAACCCCTCATCATGTTCTGAAGCAGTGCAGAGAAACAAGAGATACCTCTGAGGTAGTTTAACAATTATAACCACCAGGGAAGGGGAAGAGTTTCTCCAATCAGTCTTCAGCTGAAAGTTCAGGCATCTGGTGCCTGAGAAACGGTTTTAAGCAAAGATGAAAATACAGGTTTAAAGCTCCTGGCTGCTTTATATAAGGAGAATAAACTGCTCACCATCTCCTTCTCTCTCGCCTTCACTTTCCTGATCACCTTCATAACCAGAGCAGGAATCTAAGCTCCAGTCAAGGAAGTTGTCCAGCAGACTTTCTTCCTGGGAGGACAGCTCTGCTGTGGGTGTAGTCACAAAGCTGCCCCTGTCATCCTGAATGCTGTCTTCCCTCCTCCTGTGGCAAAACAATCCACAAGTCACGTGTTAAAAGCTAAGTCTTCTCCAGCTCTTTTAAGAAGCATGTCCAGGTAAGGACAAGAAAATCGACTGTGTTTAAGAATGAAACCTCAGGGTAACCAGAGAGGAGGAAAGGCTCAGGCTGATCTTCAGAGCCACTGACAGCCATGAGTTACACTCACCTTTTAGCTCTCTTTCCAGAGGGAGAGCTGAGGAAAGTCTGAATTTCCACTACATTCCTATGCAAGGGACTGGGCTCTGGGTCCTCCTGTTTCACACCTAAGGCCGAGCAGAGCTGGCTGTAACTCATCACCTGGGAAAAAAAAAAAAAAAAGCCAGTAAGAATTAGACCATGAGATTCCCAGAAGGACTAAATAGCCAGCAGGAGAAATCTATCCCAGCAAGTTCTTCCCAAAGATACTCAAAGAGCAGTTAGAGTCTCTGCAGATCAAGTTTTAAACTACCACTTTATTTAGATATTCTCCCTCCAAAGGTATGAAGTAAAAATCCCTTTCCCATTACCTGCAGTTCCCCACCCCCTGCCTTGGGCAGCTCAGCTCTGGGTGTCAGACAGCAGCAGATGCAGACCCAGCTCACCCACCTGTTCTTTGCCTATTTCTTCATAACACTCATCCTCAAATCGCTGTTTCACTGCCATGAGGGACACCTGCCTATAATCCTTTGGGACATCATCATGGAAGCTGGGAAGAAAGATGGAAACCCCAGTCTTAGATGCTATGAAACAATATTAGGAAAACCTGCCAATTTAGGCACTTTCCCTCTGCCCCCCTCAGTGCTGTGCTAAGGGAGTTGGTGTTTCTGCAGCTTAGACAGGATATCTGGTTCTAAGCATATGAGCATTTAATTCCTTTTCTGTGACCCAGGGCCAGACCAGCTGGGAGAAATAAAACAGCTGGCCCTGAACTGGGCCTTAGTGTCTTGTGGGGGGATCAAGGCAGTTTCCCATAAGCTTTTCCTTCACTGGGAAGGGCTGACTGTGCAGGTGCAGCACATCTGCAAGAGCTGCAATCCAAGTACTCGTGCCCTCCCAAAGAATCCCCAAACCATTACCACTTTTGGTGGAGGCTCAGCACACAGGGCACAAGGTCTTCAAGAGAGAAACCAGTGCACTCAGACAGCTGGCTGGTCCAGGGGTGTGCTGGAGGAGATACATATTCATATGTTGAATTACACATTCATGAAGCTTAAGAGTTCTGTAGTCAGACATCTTTTTTTTAATAGGATAAATATAAAGATCTTAACAAGTTTATGCCTGTCCATAGTTTGTTCAAGTTCACAGCTGGCTTTAAGGAGAGGTTTACCTGCCAAACTGAAGTTCCAGCTAAGGACAGAAATCCTCACTCTCATTTAAACACAAAGCTTGCGCAGTCTGGTGCTAATGCTCTAGTGCATCACAGCTATTAAGAGGTATAACAGAATCACAGAATGGTTTGGGTTGGGAGGGACCTTAAAGGTCATCTCATCCCACCCCCTGTCATGGGCAGGGACACCTTCCACTAGCCCAGGTTGCTCCAACCCCTGTACAACCTGGCCTTGGACACTAACCCTGCCCTCTGGCAGTGGGAAGCCATTCCCCCTTGGCCTGTCTCTCCAGGCCCTTGCCCAAAGTCCTTCTCCAGCTCTCCTGGAGCCCCTTTAGGCACTGGAAGAGGTTCTAATGTCTCTCCCCAGAGCCTTCTCTTCTCCAGGCTGAACAATCCCAGTTCTCTCAGTCCTTCCTCATAGGAGGTGCTCCATCCTTCTAACCAACTTGGTGGCCCAGTACAGCTGAAGAGGTTGAACTCAAACTCTTCATTCTGAAGTCTCATATCCGTCCCCCTCATTTCCACCCCATTCCCACCTCCCCCAGTACAGTGACTGGGACATCTTGCCTCAAGGCAAACTGACACCCAAACCCACCCCAAAACCTCCCTAAAAAGAGCAGGCAGAGTGGCACACGGTGATGCAGCCCCAGTCCAGGTCAGGTTCCTCACCTTGGCTGTGCAGGATCCTGGCCAGCAGCAGAGCTGCAGCTGCCAGCCGGGCCGGGGAGTACACACTGAGGCTCGTGTTCAGCAGGGACAGCTCACAAATGAAGCTGTAAAGGTGAAGAGTTCTCCTCTCCAGCAAGACTATGCTTGACAGAACTTCTTTGTAGTCCAAAATGGTGGGTATCTGGTGCAGAAAGGAGAAGAGAGGTTGGAAATATAGGACCAGCACAAAGTGTTTAGAACAGTTGTTTGCAGGAGATGCTGGGTTTTTTTAGGGTTTTTTTGTTTGTTTTGTCTTTTAACTACTACATTGAAACACTCTCCAGTGAGAGAATAAATGGCCTCCTAAAACTGAAGTTTTAATCTCTACAGAAGGCAGAGGGTTCTGCATCTACATGCTCTGACACATGCACAGGCTCCACAGCTGACTGGGAACACTCACATAACCCCCCAGCTCCTTAGGTAAGCACTGCCACAGCCTGAGTTGAACAGCAGCCCGGGGGGGGAAATATTCCATCCACTTCCCATACTCACCCTTATCTTTCCTTCTAGGGCAGAAATGATCTCTCCCATCATTCTGACCAGCTCTTCATACTTGTAGGAGTTGTCTGTCAGCCACACAGCTTCTCGTATCGTCAGCATCTCTTTGCTGATGAAACTGCAACGTCAAATAATATTGACAGTCAGCCCCAGCAGAAAGGGAATTTGTGCACCTCTGGCAGATAAATGCACCCAAGATGACCCCAGTTAAACTGCACAAGGTACTTTCCCAGGCAGACCAGGAAAGAGAGAACTGCAGTTCTTCATTTATTTCACCTGTAAGTCAGAACCACCTACTACAAAGTTCCTAATTTGGAATACTCTTCCGAATATGGAAAGAAATCTTGGCTGTGAGGGTGGTGAGGCACGAGTTGCCCAGAGAAGCTGTGGCTGCCCCATCCCTGGAAGTGTTCCAGGTCAGGTTGGAGAGGGTTTGGAGCAGCCTGGGCTAGTGGAAGGTGTCCCTGCCTATGGCAGGGGGTGGGATAAGATGGTTATTAAAGGTCCCTTTCAACCCAAACCAATCTGTGATTGTGTGATCTTAATTCTTCATTTATGAAACCTCTCCTAGGTTAAGATGCAGGATATTGAGGAAATTAGCATAGAAGGATAATTTTGCACCTCACCACAGAGTTCACCTGAGTCAAACAATCTAAGCCACAGAACACCACTGCTGCAGTTATTACTTTCAGGATGTCTCATGCCAACATGGTGTCAAAGACTCCAGCTGCTGATGGAATACATTTAGAGCAATCCACCACTATGACCTTGTTTTAAAATATGAAAAAACCTGCAAGGAACTGCATTTTGTGCCTCATTTGCAGAGACTGTGTTTGTACGTGAACACAGTTAAGCAGCTGTCAAGGTAGAGGGGAGCCAAAGAGTCTTTCCAGCATTACCAGCAAGGGATGGGTTGGGGAAAAAGTTTGAGCTGCGGGAATGAATTTGGGTGATCACAGTCCCCACCTCTGTTCACCAGGCAGAACCCTCACCGTGTGCAAATGACCATGCAGGCTATTCCCAAAAGCTGGAGCCGAGCACGAGGCACAGGTCGCAGCTTCAAGTAACGATCCACACACCCCACTGTCATGTGAAGGCACAGGCTGGAAAAGTCCTTCATAGTGGCCACTTCCACCAGCCAATCCACCAGGATGTACCTAGAATGGGAAGGGAGAGATGTAAGGAAGGACTTGGACAGCAGTGTCTGAAGATGCTCATGGCATCACATCCAACAGGGGAATGAGCCAGGCAGTGCCAAGTGTTCCTGAGCTGCCTCCCAAGGTGGGAGCCAGAAGGCCAAGCCCCTTCAGGGTGTGTGTGGATGTGGTGGATTCTTTTGGATTCCAAAAAACCTGCCTGTTCCTTCACCTCCCTGCACACCAACACTTACAGCATGGGGAATAAACAGGAGGGGTTGGAAGTGTGTGTGCAGTCACAGGGTCACGATCTCACCAGTTCCAGAGCCATGGTGGGATAACTTGTGTGGCTGGAATGCTGCCATGGATGGCTCTGTACTTGTTAGGAAGGTGTCCTAGTTAGAACAGCTGGGACTGATTCATCACTGGATGGGTGTAGCCCAAACCTGTGTATTCTATAGCCCTCCATGCCATTTCCCAGAAACTGCTGTCAGTAGAGGACTGTGAGGTGGGGGGATGTTCCTGTCCTCATGCCCTTTTATGGAATTCCCCACTCTGAGGGAGGGACTAAGCATTGCTGCCTGAGCTGGAGAATATATAAACCTGGAGTTTCAGAACCTTACCACCTCTCGTGGGATCCAGAGGAGGACTGCAGCTCACCACTCTCAGCCAGACTGAGACCACCACCCTCGGCTGGGCTGCAATCACCACTTTGGCCAGACTGCAGCAGCTCTCCCACCAGCAGGTTTTTCCCCTCTCCCTTTGCTTTGGACTCAGGGGGGGCCCAGGGAGCACTGTTTTGTTTGTGCCCCGGGGTGCTGGGTTGTACATTTGGGCTTTGTGGGTTAGGGCCTGTTGCTTGTCTGTGTGGTCGTACTTATTGTATTATTTTATTAAATTGTTATTCTGACTTGTAATCTCTCTTTTGAGTTGGGTTGGTTTCCCCTGCTGGTTAACTTTTAAACCAGCACAGAAGGACACACCAGCAGGGTGAAGTGGTGGAGCTGCCCTTCATGGGAGAGAGCAATGGAATGTAACAAGCTCTGCCCAGGGATGGATAAAGAACTAGGTAAGGACTGAGAAGCAGGATAACACAGCTGACTCCACTGTGGGTGTTTACTCAGGAAGAGACAGTCCACAGGGACTTTGGAGAGACAGGACAAGGGGGAATGGCTTCCCACTGCCAGAGGGCAGAGTTAGGTGGGATATTGGGAAGAAATTCTTCCCTATGAGGGCAGTGAGGCCCTAGCACAGGTTGCTCAGAGAAGTTGTAGAGGGAATGTAGAGATGTAGAGGGAAATAGGGAATGGTTTCTGCTGTGTGGCCTGACTCCTGGATCCAAGTTCTTACCTCATTATTTCATTCATTCCTTTCTGCACAGTGAAGATGCTTTGCTTGCTGATAGGAAGGGAAGCTTGAAAGATTTGAGAAACCATTTCCCTGGAAGACTTTGCTTCTAATCCTAGCTGGTTTCCATTTCCACAAGCTTTGGCTAAAGCTATCTGTAGTAGAGAGAACACAAAAGAAAGTGTGTTTATTTTACCAAATACAAACTCAGGTAGCACAGGATGGTCCTCTAATTTTCCTGCTAAAAACAGAGAGAACAAGACAAACTACTTGAATCAGTAGTTCCTAGTTTGGTTTAAAATGTTGAGCACACACATTATCTGGGGCCAGCCTTTTAAGTCCATCAAAAGATGGATCTTTACTCATTGTACCACAGGTGTGCAGTCATTTCCCAAAGAGGGGAATGTGCAAAGTAGATACACGTGCACATATTGACATTATCCAGCAGTGTTGGCCCTGCTTCTAAAAGAAGAAATCTAAACCTACAGTGGCAGCACAGAAAGGACCAATTAAAGACTGTTCTTCTGGGAAAATTCAGTCTTACCTGTGCTTCCCAGCAGCCCTTTGCTGCGTAGTCTCGTAGCTTCCTGAGACTTTGGAGGTATCTGCCAGGATCTGACATCTACAGAGAGGAGTGTAAACAGATGTAAAAACCCATTGCCTTCACACAACAAACAGAAGAACTGTAGTACCAATATCCAGAGGAAACACACTGCCTGGGGGTACATCTATTATTTCAGCAACCAGTTTTTAAGACAATGCTGTTTTTAAGAACTTTTCTCCAGTTCTTGCCCAAGGTCTCACAGGAAATGAGACCTGGCACTCAGGAATACAAGGTGAGAGCTTTGGCAGATTATTACTGACAAGGCAGGAGCCTCCCCTTCCTGCTCCCCAGTGAGCCCTGGGATCACTGGCCAGCAGTGCCCAGGCCTTCAGCAGAGTGAGTGTAAAGCAACCTCTGCTGCACCTCAGCTACAACTCCTCACTTCAAATCTCCAGCCAGACACCAAAGCTCATTTCAGAGAGGTCTTAGTGCTCTCCTTGTCCATGAAGGTAAGCTCAGGAACAGCAATTTCTTTCTGAGGACATTCATTGCATATAACAGAGGCCCAGAAGTTAAGTGAAAAGTTGTTGTGATACAAAGAGTTACTACTTACAGCAGCCTTTCTGTTGTTTTCCCAAAGGAGGTAGGAGCTGATTAAACAACCCTGCTTGGATGATTCCTCAAGCATTTCAAGGGATTCTTTCTTTTTTCCTTCATCCTAAAAACAGAAGGCATACACTGGTATTTTTTCTGCCCAGACAACTGGATGCCTCAACACTTCAGAAGCTACATAACAGCAGAATCCATCCCTTGGGAGTGCCCTTCAGCCTCTGAGGGATGCTCCCACATCCACTCATTTGCAGATTCAGGCTCTGGGAGCAATTAGTGCTTTTCCTCAGCCAGAAAAAAGCTTTTTGGCTTGTTTGCCACTGAAGGCTTTTTTCTTTTTTTCTTTTTTTTTTTTTTCACTAGGCATTATGACTGGAAGGCTTCCTTTGAGACCTGAACACACTACAAGCCCATGATTAAGCCAAAATTAATTTCACTGTTTGTACAATTCAATAAACTAAGTTAATAATGTTCCTTTAAACAACCAGTAAATTAAACTCATGAGAACAGAAATTCCTGGGCCACTTGAGGAGCATAAGAGCATCTGGTTGACTTATTTTTTTAATCAAGGTAAACAGCACCAGCATCAAACAAACCCAAACATCACACTGGGAACACTGCTCACCTCAAAGAAATTCAAGACCTTAGCCAAGCTGTGGAGAATAGATCCTTTCTGAGCCTAAAGAAAGATAAAGATTGTTAAACAAAGAACCATAGCAATTCTTGCTAGCAATTTCAGACTACAGTTTTGGCTTGTCTTTCAATCACTCCTTCCCCTTGCTTTTCTCCATGTTTTTTTAGATCTGAGACAGCACTGAACCTCTCAGAACAGACAGTACAGGCCTCTGGCACTGGGGGTATATCATGTGTGGTTTGGTCATAAATTCAATAAAATGACTGAGCCACAGCCATTGAAGCAACAAGAGCACAGGAGGCTCCTTGGGGGAACAAAAGCACTTTTTCCAAAATAATGAGAAAGTCAAGGGCAGAAATAAACCAAACCTTCTCGAGCTGACACTCTGCTTTGAGACTGTCATAGACCACAGCTTTACAGCAGCTTCCAGTGAAGGACCAGGGAGGACGGATGAACAGCCAGATGAAGGGCACTGCACACACATTCAGGTGCTCTGCCAAGCTGAAGTAGTGAGATGCCTTTATTCCATTCACTTCTGCACGACCGTGGCCCGTGATAGACACTGAACCAGAGACAAAAACAGAACTCATGTACAGTTTGTTCACAGTGCCTGGCTTGGCAACGGCCAAGACACACAACAGGAAACAATCAGGAAGACTGAACTATTTCTTCCATTTAGTGCCTTAAAAGTCATGGAGACGGCAGAAGAAAAATCCTACTACAGTCAGAGTTAAGAAATATACAACCCCAAGGTGAGGGCAGGGGGGTTGCAAATCCCAGCCCTCACAGCAGTGCTAACTCCTGCCAGTGTACAAACCAACCAGCGTGGAAGAGCCTGTCCTGCAGGACCCTCTGTGAGAAGGCTCCTCCTGGCACTTGTCAGGCTCTTCTGACACATTTTTTATCACACCAGGAAAGCAGCTGAGTTTGATCAGAAGTCTGCAGAGGACAACTCCTAAATCCAAATTCACAGGCTCTGTGCTCAGTTTAGCAGCCAGTGGTAAAGCACTGAAATATAAAGCTCCCTTCTGCTATGCCATGTTCCCCCAAAGCCCCAGGACAAGCTTCCACACTCACAGCCTTCGTTGTACAGGTATGCCAAGCTCAGCTTCACAGCAGCTTCGAAGTTACCACTTTCAGCAGCCCTGAATGGCAAACAAAGAAGGTGTTTGAGGTTGAAATCATTCCCAACACCAGAATGCACATTTTGGGACTTGCACCCTCAAGGACATGCATCAAACCATCAAGTCCCTGTGTCCTCTCTCCCAAACTGGCGTGCACACAGGAGTCTTCCTCAGACAGAGAACACGTGCAAAGTGGCAGTCGGAAGAAAAACAATTATTGTAGTATTTAAACCTGTTGAAGAAATTTCTGACACTACAAAACCAATGGATGCCCTTCAAATCAGATGGATAAAAAGACATTTTCCATCTTTTTAAAGCATATTTATTGTTACCCTTTCAAACTTTGTTACTGAAATTCACCTATTTTTCAATACACTGGTTTACACAAGAAGTGACCAAGCCAACTCAGAAACACAGTTATTCTCTGGAGCCTCTCATTTCACTTGGTCATTCATATGTAAGCACCAGGAGAAGATTTCAGTTAATGTACTATGCTCCAATATGAATATTGATGCCCATAAAGAGGAATAACTTTGGTACATGCCATGGGTTCTGCTCTGGTTGAAGAGACAGCAGCGATCAGCTGCAGCTTAGACCTGAAATCAACCATTTTTCATCCCCCAAACCAAGACTTCTCCTCTTTGTACAAGTCACATCCCCCAGTTACACTGAAGACTGATTAGAACTGTGTATCTGTCTTCAAACATCCTCTTCTAGAAGGCCAGACAAATTTGATATTTAAAGTTTACCTTTCAAACATCCTCAGGTTGCTTGGAGAAGGCCACATGTCTTGGAAACTTGCGTGTGCCCAAACACTGGAATGATTATCCACAAGGTATTTAAGGTGTGAGTGCACCTGCACGGAGGGAACACAAAATAATAATTACTAAAATAAAGGGACCAACAGAAAAGCAAGTCTTTGTGATCTAATTTTAGAGAGGTAACTAACTAATCACCAGTTAATCATAACCATTATCAGGCAGGTAACAAGTTAAGGCAAAAGATGGCAAACCAATTTGTTCAGTCACAGTGATCCAGCAGGACAATTGCCACAGAAAACGAGCACAGAGCACTCTGTTACTTTTCTTAAGCTTGAGCAGTGAGAGATCAAACTGCCACTAGGAGAGCAAAAGTCTAATCCTTGCAGGTACTCTTTGGGTTTCTTCAGGCTCACTCTGACATGAAAAGCCTGTTCCATGTGCAGTCCAGGCTCCTGCAGGCAGGGCTGAGCCGCGGTACCTGCCAGAGGGGAAGCAGCAGCAGACTTACAGCTCTGACTGAGAGGATGTCAGCAGCAGGGAGGCCTTTCAGGACGTGAAACAGAACATCCTCAGGCAGGTTTAAGAACGTCAGGACTCGAGGTCGTTTTATTATCCTTCGTTTTGAAGGGAAAGAAAAACATCTGGAACATCTACAGTGAACCACTGCAAAAGAAAGACATGGGACACCTCAGTTAGTGATGGAACAGCACAAGGAAAAAAGGCACTGCAGAGTATATACACAAAAAAAGGTGTATATTTGAGCTCCTTTTCACTGCAGCACAGGACACTTCAAACATATTAACCAGAGAAATGTAGCATGTGCCACATAACACGACAAGACCAAGCCTCACAGCAGTAAGGGGCTCCTTCAGTTTGGTTAACAAAGCCCAGAGGCTCAGGAGGGATGGCTCATGCTCTTCACAGAGAGCCCCTCCAAGCCCTGACTCCTGTGACTGTGTTTAGTGGTGACAATCAGCTCAACTGTCCCTGCTCAGTAGTGACAAATGGTTTAACTGTCACCACTACAACTTAATTTACCTCCCCCACACCCCAACTTTTCCTTCTCAACTGACAGCAGCCCTTGGAATGTGACCACAGATAGTAGGAAGTTAAGACCCACCAAACCTGCTCAAGCCCATCTCCCAGCAGCCAGTTGCTGCCATGGGTGCTGATGTAAGATCCATTGCCTGCACCTTCTGGAGAATTATTGCAATGCAATAATTTTATATATATAATATATATATATATATATATCTTTATATTTATTGCTATTATATATATGTATATCTAGAAAGAGATATATATATATATATATATATAAAACGTATTCTCTTCAGCAGTATCACTGCCATGAAAACGAAATGGACTCCTACGCTGGGATGCCAGTTCTGTCTATATGAGCATCCAAATGCCTGGGGAGCGGGGGGTACTTGAGCAAACCAGGGAAAACTCAATTTCTAAAGACAGGAAGTGGCACAGGTTAATTTCAGGGTACTTTGGGCTGGAAAGGAGCTCTAGAGTCACCCCGTTCAAGCACCCTGCCAAGGCGAGTAGGACCACATCCAGGCGGGTTTGATCATCTCCGAGGACACGGACCCCACAATTTGTGCGGGCAACCGGTGCCACCGCTCAGCCACCCGTGGCGTAAAACCCGCTTTCTCTTAGCTTTAAATGGAGTCTCCTGCACATTAACGTGCACCCTACAAGCTCACAGGCGCCTGCTGCGCTACCCCACGCCCGGAACACATCCCGAAGCCCTGGTGCGAGGCCGGGGTGCTCAGGCACAGCCACAGCCTCGGATCCTGCGGCCGGGGCGGCCCCGGTGGGCAGCGCTCCGCGACCAGCGCTGGCCCCGGAGGAGCCCCCGGGAGCCCCCGGGAGCCCCGAGCCGCCGCCGCGTTTGAATCTGGGCGCGCAGCCACCGGCCCGGCACCCGCCGCTGCCAGCCCCTCACCCGGCCAGGGCTCGGAGTGCCCCGTGCCCGGCCCTGCCCTCACAGCCCCCTCACGAGGCGCCGGGCGGGGCCGCTCCTCCGCGCGGGAGGACGCGGCGCCCGCGGCAGACCCGCGCTCACCGCCCGTCTTCATCGCAGCGCTGCCCCGAGGACCCAGCGCGAAGCGGGCGGACACAGCGCCCTGCCCGGCTCGAAGCGAGCGGCACGGCCAGAGGAGGGACCGGAGCGCCGGGAGCGGGCGGGGTCTGCCGGGCCGACACGCCCCGCTGGCCCCGCGGGCGCGCCCAGCCAGCACCGTGAGCGGCGCAAGCTCCACCCACCGGGCCCGCCCGCCGCCCCGCTGTGCCGCCCCCCGCCCGCGCTCACTTGTTTTAAACACAGCAGGGCCTGCGATTGGCCAGAAGGGCGGAGGGGGCGGGGTCGGATCCGCGCCGCGTGCTGTGATTGGGCAGCGAGAATGCGAATTCGAATTGGGGCAGTTGGCGGTTCGAACCCGTGGCGGGGCGGCGCATGCGCGGGCGGCAGCGCGCCCCCTACCGGGCGGGCGGGGCATGGCAGGGGCGGTGCTTCCCCTCACGGAGCCGCCGCCATGTTCGTGGTGCTATATCATCCCGCGCCGGCACGGCCTGTGTCATAGCGCCGTCCCCGGCTCTCCCCGGGCCCAGGAGTCCCTTCTCTTCGCACGACCCAGCTGGCAGCAGCCGGCCCTGCCGCTGCGCTGCTGCTCACCCGCAGCCTCCTGTGCTGGGCTGATGTTGCCCGGCCAAGGGAGCTGCTGATGTAGCGCTGGGGGTTTGTTGCTGCCTGATGGTTTCCATCCTGAGCGACCAGCGCCTGAGGGTGTCCGTGCTGGAGCTAAAGCACTAGGGAGGGCATTGCCTGCTGGGCAGTAGGTCTGCATAGAAGGCCTTGGGGGTCCCGGTGTCCCCCAGCTGACCAGCCCTGGAGCCAAGGTTGGGCATCCTCAGGTGTGTGAGGACGAGCATTTCCAGCAGGTCAGGGAGGGGATCCTGCCCCTCTGCTCAACCTGGGGAGGCACATCTGGAGTGCTGTGTCCAGTTCTGGGCTCCTCAGGACAAGAGAAACCCCAAGCTCCTGGAGCAGATCACAGAATCACATGGGGGATTAGGCAGACAACTGACGGTCAAAGTTCATCCCTGAGTGCAGGATTTAGAGGAAAGCCCTGATCCTCCCAAGGCAAAGAGCAGAGTGGCATAAGGAGGTGTATTGAAAAGGCTGGAAGGCAAACAAAGCAAAATCAGATATTGAATCTGCCCATCTGAAGACTGTTGTGAGTCTTGAGTCTCACAAGACGTAAAACAGTGACAAGAGGAGCTGTTACTTTGTGGGACGTAAAATGACTGTGCCCCAGTTTGTGGTGGCTGAAAACTTTCCCAATGCTGTACCTTGAATAAACATTGTCAATCCCAGTGGAGCTGAGGTTTCTTCCTGGTAGTGTTTGTGAGACTTGTTAGAGGATTTCGCAAGCACTTTTCAGTGATAGGACATGAAGTTCTGGTTGCTTCTCTGCACCCACACTCTTGGGATTGGGATAGCTTTGGAATCTCACCAGGGATCTCATTTTATGGTCAGGGAGGCTGAGCTCAGACGGCCTGGTGGCTTCTTCTGGCTGTGCGGGGCTGGCATCCCATGGGTTGTCCCCCACTCCCGTGAGGTGACCATGGCGGACCAGCAGCTGTGATCAGCCTTTCTCCCATGGAGCTCCACCTCCTCCTTCTGTGGAACTGCGTCATATTCGTGGGGAGCGCGACAGCTGCTGACAGGGAAAAGCAGCACCGGGAGCGCAGGGAATATTTAGCTCCTTTTAATTGAGAAGCATTTTGAGTTAAAAAGTTAATCATGCTGTTGGCTTTTGTTCCTTATTTCTTCTCTGCCTCACAGCTGTTTCTGTCAACTAAAAATAAGCTGAACCAGCAAACAAAACATGAGAAATCAGCTCCCCACAGAGAGCTCAGATCGCAGCAGAAGATGCTCCTTGAGTGAGCTGTGGAGCAGAGTCCCCTCAGGTAGATCCTGTTCTTTCCAGACATGGCAGGGTTACGTTTGAAGGACAGGTATAGCCAAAGCGTGGGTGGCACAGGGAGGTGGGAGGTGAGGTTTTCAGAAGCAGTAAACCTTGGCCTGGTTTGTCCCCTCTGGAATAGGATGGCAGGACATCAAGGTGGTTTTGTCACTGATAGAGAAACCAGATCAGAGGCTGACGGGTGTGTAGTAGGACACACATTACCTAAACATGACCACTTCTCCAAAAGATCAGGTTGGATTCACCATGCTAAACACAGGTGCACCTCCTTAGAAAGCCATTACAGTGAAGAGTCAGTCCCTGCAGAGGAGAAGGCTGATTAGTGCATTATTTGATCACTGTTTCCAGCTTCTGAGCTGGATTTCCCTTGGAGAGGGACTTTTCACAAGAGCGTGTAGTGATAGGACAAGGGGGAATATCCTTAAGGTGGTGGAGGCCAGGTTCAGATTAGGTATTAGAAATTCTTGGCTGTGAGGGTGGGGAGGCCCTGGCATAGGTTGCTCAGAGAAGCTGTGGCTGCCCCATCCCTGGAAGTGTCCAAGGCCAGGTTGGACGGGGCTTGAAGCAACCTGGGCTGGTGGAAGGTGTCCCTGCCTGTGGCAGGGGATTGGATTGAGATGAGCTTTAATGTCCCTCCCAAACCATTCTGGGATTCTCTGATTTCCCTTATTTATCCTGCCTCTTTCTCCACTAAAGGGCAGGTAGAGGGTTGCATTTCTCCTCAATCAGAAAGCCTCCTTGCTCCCTTCACTTCTGGCTATGGAAATGAGGGTAAATACCACAAAGATGTTTGGTTTGCCTTGATTGCTGTGATTTAAACAAGACTCAACACAAGGGTAACACTTACTTGCTCTTCTGCCAAACCTGGGATTCTCCAGGCATTGGAGATGCTCTACACAAGCTCCAGTTTCACTCAAGGTGTTGATCCCTCTTCTGAAGAGATCCGAGGGCCTGAGACCATCTAAGCAATACATTCAACAGCAACATTCCCCCGGAAAAACTAAAAATTTGCTGAAAATACCTTTTAGCCAGGCAAATATCAGCTTGCACTTCCTCAAGTCCATGTGAGAGAAAGAGGATACACAGATTATCATTCACTCACTGCCTCAGGCACTTCAGTTTTTAAAGCCTCTTCAGAAATCTATGAAAGTCTCTTTAGAACCAGTCCATTTTTCCACTCTAATTTGTTAATGGATTGCAATCAGACTCAAATGTACAGATTTTAAGGAAAGAGCAAAGATGAAAAATTTCGGTCAAATAGGACTTGGAGACAGTGATATAAACCTATATGAATGTAACATCCCCTCTAAACTCTTCAGTTAGTGAACAGGTTAACAATCAGCTGAGTTTAGGCATTCAGAGTTTTCAGTCTGGTGAAAAAAGTTGCAGACAAGCCCCTGAACGCTGGAGGTTGCATTACATGGTGTTGCAAAAGTAATATCATTTATCTAGACAGTTAAGTTACATCTGCCTCATTTCACAGCAGAGCTGTGTGGTTTGCAGAGGTTTTTCTAACCAACACTGTCCAAGATAGTTCCAGAACTGAAAAGAAAATACCTGTGATGTCATAGGGCCACATGAAAGTTAGTTAGCCAAGCTGAAACCTGAGAGTAATTAGCTCAGCTGCAGAAAGGTCCGAGCTATGCTGCCTTCAGGATCCAGCGTTTCTGCAGGGCCTTGTGGATACGAGAGTAGCTGTGGCTTGGGAAAAAGGCAGTAATTTCACTACAATTTTTATTTAGTCTGTGATTATTCAATCGGTAGACATGGGAATTTTATATTATAGTGGCCATAAAATGTATTCTGGCAGTTTTAAAGCGGCATCTTTCCTGCAGTTCGAAGGGCAAATGAAAGTAATCTGGGCCATTTGCTGCATGGAAGGCTCAAATACTCCATGAATGCTCCTTGCAAATCTCTCCCTGTTGTCATAAGGCTGAAGTGCTGAGAAGGGAGGAGAGAAAATTTTCTCTGGAAAGAGCCAATTCTCAATTGAAATAGTCCTACCAGTCTTTGTAACGTTTCCCATCCCACTTTTGAAAGGTGAGATAATTCAGCTCTTTGTTACACCTTTAGCATAATATAATGATAACTGGTCTGGAGAAGGAGCTGCTCTCCAGGGGAGGAAAGAGCTCCTCCAAATCCACAAATCCAGCTGCAAGTTGGGTGGAAGTGTTTGTCTGAGATCCCAAGACGATGAGGCAAAAGTTTTATGTCAGGACATCTCAACATATTCTCTGATGGCCACATCCCGTTCCTGTAGGTATTTCCACATAGCATTACTGATGCAGTCCCTGTGGTTTACATTCATACTGACATTTATTAACAATGCTGTGGGGCTGCAAATCAGCACTGAAAAGCTGGACTTCTGTGGATACCCATCCTTTCTCCAAACTGTGTTTCTCTATCAGAAGGAACATGCTTGGGAAACATCCCAAGAGTGAAACCCTTCCCTTGCAAATCACGAGGTGGAACATCCCAAAAGTGAAACCTTTCCCTTGCAAATCGGGACATGGAACACCTTGAGAGTGAAACCCTTCCCTTGTATATCAAGACATGGAGCTACCACGAGGTGGCATCAAACTCATGTGATGGGGCATCGAACCTTCAGTTTTCCGGCGTTTTTCCAGTTTGAGGACATCCCAGTTTAGCACTCGGAAGCCAAAAGGGGTGCGCTGATATTTTGGAACCAGAAGCTCTAATTTCACGAATCTTCTGCATGTTTTGTTAGGTGTAATTTGACTGCCCTCCATGAGTAGCACTATTCTAGGGTGGTACCCGAATGTAAACCAAGTAAATTAACCTGTATGAAACGGGTTAATGCAGTGCTTTCCAAAATCCAGGGCTGGTCCCACCAAGGCAGAGGAAGGGTGAACATGGCTTTTAGGAACAAATGACTAGGCAAAAGTGTCCTGCAGAAAGGTTCTCAGAAAGAGGGCTGTGAGTTCTGCTGGTGCTCTCTGCGATATGCACGCGAAGGCTTAGGGCACGGGGTGAAACCAGCACCTGGCACGCTGGGCCAGCTCACAGATGTGTGAAATACTCATCCTGGCAGGTTGTGTGACAGGGCACAGCCCTTGGCACCGGGTAGGAGGTGGTGGATCACCCTGGTGTCCTCCTGCAGGTGCTGCAGAACCCAGGCCCCACACTGCACAGCACACAGACTCTGTGTGTGGGGACTCGGGGTGGGAAAGGCACCGTGGTGCTGCAGGAACCATGGAAAAGGGAGCATGAGGAGTGATGCTAATGGCCCACAGGACCTGCCAGCTTTGTGTCTGTGGTGGTGTGGGTGGGTCCAGTAACAACCCAGCCCCCGTGACGGCCAGACCCAGCCTGGGCAGCCCCAGGAAGGGCCACAGAGCAGTGACTGATGTCTGGAGGTTCTGGGATGAGTTCCAAAGGTTCTGTGGACGTACTGGAGGTTCAGTGACTTCGCTGTCAGCCCAGGCCTTTCCCATCCTCTGGCTGGTTCCAAAGCTTTGCTTTGGGGGGCTCTCAGTGGGGCAGCTTTTACTCCCACTCCATTCAAGTGGAAACTTATCCCCTCTCTGGCAGAAAACAGGCAGTTTGGCCAACTTCTGAATGATATCTGATTCCCTTTAAACACTTGAAGAGCGCCACTTCTTACAGAAACACACTTCTGTAGGAGCTAGAGACCTGGAGCAGAGCCAAGGAGCTGGAATTGGGATACAGCATTGCACAGGGAAGGCAGAGAGAGAAGGTCTGTATCAGCCATACCAGGACTGGCAGTCACAGAACAGAGCCAAAGGCTCTCAAAGCCACCAGACTTTCTCCTCCCAAGCTCTTGCTGATATGAGACATTCAATTTATACATTTTTTTTAATTTATCTTTTTATGCCATGGTTTCAAGATACTTTAAGCAGATCCTCAGCACCCCAGAGGCTGAGGTGCCAGGAAGGGGCTGTTGGGCCCACGATAGACAAAGCCACTGGCACTACTGATTAAGGTGAGCAGCACCTTCTCTGTGTGAGCACTTATTTCCCTCTAAGTTCCTAAAGAAGACTGGCCTTATAACTCCAAGGGCAAATCCTCAGAGTTAAAAGCTCCTGGATACCTCTATAGCTTTTTTACACTTTATCCTCCTCTCAAAACAAAGAGATTCCATGCTGGGTCTTCCTTATCTTGCAGGACTGAAAGCACAGCTTCCCTTCTGAGCATGAATCCATCCCTGGAGGAATTCTCCCCCACTCCCTTTCTTGGCAACTCCTTACTGTTGTCCCTCCACCACAGGAGTTACAGGCACCCCATCATTCTATTCCCAAAGGACTTCATTCCCTGCTCATCCTCCAAAGGGCTAGGGAAAGCTGTGTTCATTCCCTGGTGTGCACTGGGGAAGCACAACCCTGTTTCCTGCAGGGATGGGATGGGGACATGGGGCATGGGGGGACACCTGGATCACTGAGCTCAGCTCCCTGTGTACACAGCAATGTGGGTTTTCTTCAGGAGAGACCCTAGAGCTTCTTCACTGCACACCCTGTGGCACTAAGGGCAATGAAAAAGTCTTCAGGACTTTACTACAAGTTTTATAAGTACAGGTAGAAAAAAGAAAAATAAAAAAGGAGAAAACATGTACTTTACTCCAGTACCCAAAGAGGGCTTACAAGAGAGCTGGAGAGGGACTTGGGACAAGGGCATGGATGGACAGGACAAGAAGAATGGCTTCAGATTGACAGAGGACAGGGTTAGATGGAATACTGGAAAGAAATTCTTCCCTGTGAGGGTGGTGAGGCCCTGGGACAGGTTGCCCAGAGAAGCTGTGGCTGCCCCATCCCTGGAAGTGTCCAAGGCCAGGTTGGACGGGGCTTGGAGCAACCTGGGCCAGTGGAAGGTGTCCCTGCCCATGGCAGGGAGTGGGACAAGATGATCTTTAAGGTCCCTTCCAACCCAGACTGTGATTCTGTGATTCAAATTCAGTGCCAGTGCAGTGCTTTCCAGCAGCTCCGGGTTCCTGGGAAGCCCCTGTGATATCTTGGAGTCCAATCAAGAATATTTTCCTGAAGCATTTTGGCATGATGAGCTCCACACAAGCGATTGAAGGAACTGCCCAGGCCCAGCTCTAAAAACTCTGCTCTGGATCTACTGCTGATCCACCTATAGCCAGGCACGAAGTCCTGGCAGACAGTGGTGCCACCCCGGGTTTCAGGACACGTGAAGGAACACTGCCCTAATTCCATGGTTCTGTGCTGATTACACAGCCTCAGCCACTTAATAATGGATGTAGGGTTGGTTTTATTTCCTGTAAAGAACAGAGTGTTTGGCAAAAGAGGAGAGTGAGAGTGACAGCTGTGTACACATTTCACATGTTTCCAGTGTTATTTCTCCTCCGGAGAAGAACAGAGCTGTTATTAATAATCACCTTGCCAAGTTTCTGAATTGATATTTTGAAATGAGCTGGGGATATAATTTAGGAACACAAGCAAGGGGGGAAATGTGCTTTCAATTGAACTTGAAATGGATGGAGAGTTGATGATGAAGCAAGAGAAATGATGGTGATTCTGGAGGGCTCTAGCTGAAAGAAGGAAGCTGTAAAACAGAGGTTTTCCAGACAATCCCACAATGTGCCGGAGAATGTTGTCCAAACACTCCTGGAGCTCTGGCAGCCTTGGAGCCGTGACTGTTGCTCTGGGGAGCCTGTTCAGTGCCCAATCACCCTCCGGGGGAAGAACCTTTTCTTAATATCCAGCTTAAACCTACCCTGACACAGGTTCAGGCCACTCCTTCAGGTCCTGTAACAAATATTCCCCTGAACTCACAATTTCCCCCCCAGAATCCCAGTAAAATGGTGGTGGGGGTTTAGATGTCTTTATTAAATTTCTTTATTTTTAACCCAATTTAGAGGTTTTTTAAGGGATGAAGATGGATCAAAAGAAAACCAAGACCAAAATAAAAGGATTTACATGTTGGCATCATGTGAGTATCCATGAGGTTGGGTTGAGTGGGTGTAAAAGCCTTTTTTGGAGGGCTTTCTGCCCCATTGTCTCCAAAAGCTTGGTCTTTGCCCAAATCCATCATCATTTGGCTGTGGAAGATGCTGGAGCCCGAGAGGTTTTGGATGGAGGTGAAGGAGGCTGAAGTGGATGAATACACTTAAAAAGTGTTGTTGCTTAGGCAGCACCAGAGCTTGCAAGGCACTGTGTGGCAGGAGTAACCCTTAGAAGTGTGCATTTGGCATGTGAAGGATGCAAGGTGGGCTGTGGGGCAATAGAAGTACCAGACAACATTGTCAGTGTTCCCTCTCTTGTCATCTATGACCTCCTACAGAAGGAAACAGTTTGAAAAACAGTGGAAAAGAATGAAGTGTTGAGGCATCACAACTGCAGCCTCTCCAGCTGTGACTCAGAGCCCCTCTCCACTCAATTCAAAATGAGGTCTCTGAAGAAAAAATTGTGTGGGGTTCCTGCTTGCTCTCTGTAACTGCAGCAAACTTAAATCTCCTTCCGCAACAAACAAAATCCCTGCAAGGCCTTGTCCATGGCTAA